AAAATATTAAAACGTGTGCAAGAGTATATTTGTTATGAAATGCGAGTGCTTTCCAAAAGATTATTTAAAAAAAAATTAAATTTAGAATTTAATTAAAATCCACAACAAATTGTTGAAGAACAATCATTATAATGGTAAAATATTTAGAATACGTAGTTTGTAAAAAATATTATATTGAATAAAACCATCTTTACGGATTTTATTGCGTTTAATTATACTTATTTTTAAATTCCCGACGTTTCGGGTGCTTTCCAGCACCCCTGGTCACGGGGACTGAGGTAATTGACATCCCGATGTCAGAGTTAGCCTGGAGTACCTTCAGCTTTTTAATTATTAGTTTTGGTCCACCCTACGCAGAATGAACTTACTGTGTCTTGAAGTCTTGCAGTGGTATGCTTGGGTTTAGTTTTAATTTTGTTAATCACAGGATCCCAAGCAGGTGGTAGTAGCCACCCTCCCTCTCTATTGAAATAAGAATGTTTTTTTTTTTAATTTTAATAGCCTTGGGCCATCTAGGATATGAACACAAACTGCAGACTTCCCGGAACGTTGGTATTTCATCTCAGCTATCTGTTCTTTTACGAGGGTTTTAATGGATCGTTTTGTTCGCCCTATATAAATTTAAAAAAAAAACATCCTTAAAAAGTATAATTAAACACAATAAAATGCGTAAAAGTGGTTTTATTCAATATGTAGTGTTCGCTAATATAAGAAATCATTATAAAATATTATATCTTAAGTATCTATTAAAATGCTGATAAAGGTTTTGTTTATTTAATTTTATCCTCCTGTGCCAACCCTACCAAAATAGGTGAAAATTTTGACAGTTCCTTAGAAGCTTTGCCTCTGTATAGTTTCTTTACTCATGTGCTTACAGTGTAAGCATTACATGTAAGCCTTACACTAAGCCATAATTTACTGCATTAAGCTGAGGCGATTATTTGAATGCTGACATAGAGAACCATTAAAAAAAATCTCTGTCTGACTGTCCAGGCTAATCTTCGAAAAGAGGTCAGTGTCGAAATGGTTTAATCGATTGCAATGAAACTACGTGAACAGATAATAGCAATGCCAGGTGATCAAGAATACACTTCATCCATAAAACTTACGGATTTTTTTCGAAAGAAAAAAAAGACAATTTAAAATATATCTTTTCTTTGATAGTCTTAAAGTCTAGATTATAATATATACTCTCTACCAGAGAGTATTAGTCTATATGTAAAATAAAAAGTTATATGATTTTACGTAAAGACCAATAATAGTTATTATTCTATGCGCGTACACAACACGTACATCAGCAAAGTCTTAGGCCCGCCATATACATACGGAATTCCGTTTCGAGATTCCGTTTCGGAATTCCGAACGAGTCGGCCACACACATACGGAATCCCGTTTTGCTCGCAAAATTTCGAACGGAAAACGACCGTACGTGTGTGGCGAGTCATAGATTTTATATGGACTTGCTGCGTTCGGGATTCCGAATCGGAATATCGAAACGGAATCTCGAAACGGAATTCCGTATGTATGTGGCCGGCCCAAGAATCAAAAATGCATTGAAAGTTCTGCCCTCTAGTGAACAAGGTACATAAACTTGTAGGCTAGTTTTGTTCAGCGTTGTATAGATGGCGTTAATTTAGCCAAAACCCCAGAATCCAAAGCCAAAAAAAACCTAAATCTATGGCAGTTTTGGTCTATGGTTATGGTTGACACACTCGGTTGACAGTTCTTTCTAATAAATACGAATATTATTGATACGATAATTCAGAAAACGAAAATATTTTGCAACTTTTCGTTCCTCTCCTCGTGAATATCATAATTTAGGCTTTATGATTATTTACTAAATTTAACAATAAATGTGGTTGTTCACAGTTTATGCACCAATGTTAACAGGCTGCTAAATGGAAAATTATTAACTACTGATTTGTGATTGTGAAAATGATAATGTCAACACTCAAGCTATTAAATATTATAACAAATGGCCTAAAGGTCTAGATGCCAGGCCATAAACTCCAAAAAAAAATATTATAACATTCATAAAAGAAAATAAATACATAATTAAAATTCTATTCAGTGTTTGATATTAATATTAAAATAAAATCTTATGTGAAATAGGTTAAGTTTTATTAGTGTTAATGTTATCTGCAAAATTACTATTTGAAGATTTAAGATAATCATTGGAGATATCCAATAATTATCTGGTAGAATGCATAAACAGAAACATTATTAATAAAACTGCATAGTTCAGAATTACCAATATAGTCATTGACAAAATATGCCATCTACTGGTAACCATGTGGTAACTACCGCAAGCCGCGTTGTACTAAGGAATACAGCGGCATCTAGCGTACACGGTACACCCATTCGAAAACTGAAATGTGAGTGGCGCATCTATCCCTGGTATATAGTGTATTAAGTGTATTATCTATGGTTCCGAATCTCCGCTAGGAGTAAATAATTCTGTGGTTCCGAGATAATTTATTCTCCTATTTTATTAGCTTGTCTATGGTGTTTTGTGCAGATATTTCGATATATTAATGTACTCTGTGGTCAGAATATAGAATTTAAAGCCCGCTTTCACTATGGGATATAATATAATATATATTACATCTCGAGATAGAAATTAATATCGCTCACCATACTTTTAAATGGAACTGTTTACACTGAGCTATAATATATATTACATCTCAAACGATAAATATTTTTCGATCGACCGAGCGATATTTTCATATTATATTTCGCCCCCTGTACCCCGCACACCGTTCCGCACCACCGAGGAACCGTGTGTGGGGTACAGGGTGTAATCCAATGACGAACGAACACTGGTTAAGAGATATATCTCACAGTGTAAAAGCCAATCGCGTGATATAATTTATATTTTGGGATATAATATATCCCATAGTGAAAAGCAAGCTTAAGAGTACAATGTAGATATAAAGATATAAGATATAGACATAAAGATGGAAGTACCAAAAAGTATCGATATGTATCGTATCGATATTTTAAGATAATATTCATATCGATGTCTATAAATCTGAGAAATTTTCTAAAATATATTTTTACCTTAAGTCGGTTAGAAGAAGGTTCTCAATTCAAATGTGTTTTTTGTATGTATGTTACGCGATATCTTCGCAGAGTGTGAACCAAGTTAGTGATTCTTATTTTATAAAATAAGTTTTACTTGAAAGGCTGGTCTTTACTTCAAGTGTAATTTTTTTTTTATTTCTTTGAATCCCACTGTAGCTAAGTTTAGAAGATTCCGACCTGTACAATGGTAGTATAGAGTCTTTAAGAAACATTTGAAAAGGAATTGGCTTCAAATACAATAAAAAAGACAAACGCAAAAGACAGGAATACAATAAATAACATTTTTACGAGAAATTAAAAACATAACCAATTGGGACAATGTTATATTTTTATTGATTAAACATGGATGAACGCCAACCACCCTTTCCTACGGCATGCTAAATATGACATGTGCCCGTAGAAAAGGTGGGCGCGTCATAACTTGCCATGCGGGATCCGCCGGAGGAGGATTTGTAGAAAATACAACTACTACACAAGGGATGACTGGTCTAAAGTGATGGAGAAAACAAATAAAATTTATATCGACGACTATGAAAAAAACATTTATTTGGAATGCATTATAGAAAGTGAAATAATATTTAATGTAAACAACGATGATGACGACGAAAGCTCAACTAGTTAAAGTGAAAGTGATTAAATAAATTTGTATTTAATCTTGTGCAGTCTTTAATTTAAATAATTTTATCTCTATATTTTATATAATTAGCAGTAAGCAATAAATTTGAAAAATCTGATAAATTTTGTGTTTTGAGTTATCTCTTTTTAATCTGTTCTGGTATTAATCTAGATGAGGTGCGACACATACATTCGGAATTCCGTTCCGGATTCCGTTTGGGAATTCTGAATCCCGTTTTGCCAGTAAAATTTTGAACGGAAAACAACCGTACGGGTGTGACGGGCCCTTGACTTGATATGGACTTGCTGCATTCGGAATTCCGTGTTTGTAGCGGGCCGAATATTGTGAATGATTATCACCTCTAAAGAATCGATGTCGATAACTCTTAAGAAACGAATATTACTGGTACCAATTGTTCAGTTGGTATGCCTAAAGACTAATATATGTGACAGCTGTCAAAAGGATTTTTTTAGATTTTGGTGGAGAATAGACAAAGAGTATAGTAAGTATATACAGAACAGAATGGAGATAATTTATAGTTTAGTTCACTAAGTACTTTTTTATGATGGGATGGGCAAGGGTAAATAAATAGCGATATATTGTATCGAAGCGATATTTTTAAACAGTATTGAAATATACCGCGCGATAAAAATCGATATATCGTCATCATTTAATACATCATTTTAAAATATATCAAAATTGATACGAATTCGATACTCCAAAATAAATATCGATATATCGCGATTTAAAATATTAAAAATATATATATTTCGATATATCGATATTTTTTGCCCACGCCCACTTTTTTAGTTTAGTTTGAGGAATAAGGTATAGATCAAAGAGTATAGTAATCACAGAACACTAATACCCTTAGGCGGGATAGTAATTGTTCTATACAGGAATATAATGGTATAGTATAGATAAAACCTGTAGTCAACCTGTAGTGTAGCTGTAGAGCACAGACCTTAGGGACCTTCAAGAAAAGAGCGTACTCCTTTTTAAAAGGTCGGCCACGCATCTGCAATTCCCTCCCTGGTGTTGCAGTTGTTCATGGGCGGCGGTACTCACCTTGCTACATATATATTTATCTATGGTACTCACTTACCATCAGGTGAGCCGCATGCTCGTTTGCCCCCTCTCCTATAAAAAAAAAACACAAACTATATAGAAAAGCACAGAGTACTTTTTATAAAGTGTAGTATATAACTTTCTCTGTGGTGTAGAGTGCCCACTGCCCACGGAATATAAAAATGAGCGCCAGTTACGATGTAAAAAAATGAAATAACCGTACCAAATTAACATGAAGAATATAGAAGAAATTGAGAAGGAAATAAAAAATGTTGACCGCGAGCTAAGTAAAGTCGATGCTGAAATAGCAAAATTGAAAAATCGTCAACGCGAGCTACAAGAGAAAAAAACTTCATTGAAGAAAACTATTAACCAAATCAAATCGGAATCCTTAGCTAGTGTTGATTGGGCTGGAACAAATTATGAATGGTCCGCTGATGTGAACAGAGTGCTCTTTAATATATTTAAAATTAATTCATTTAGACCAAAACAATTGGACGCTATTAATTCAACATTATCAGGTCAACATGCTTTAGTGGTTATGCCGACGGGAGCAGGTAAAAGTTTATGTTATCAGTTACCAGCTCTTATCAAACCAGGTATTACAATTGTTATTTCGCCTCTTATTTCGCTAATGGAAGATCAGGTGAGATCTTTAACAATCAAAAACATTCCTGCAAAACTAATGACAAGCACTAGTCCTAAAGAAGAAACTGCAGCTGTTTTGAATATACTCAAAGATAAAAATACACATGTAAAATTGGTGTACGTAACTCCAGAGCGATTAGCAAAAAGCAAAAGGTTTATGGCTAATTTACAAAAATGCTATGCTGATGGTAGGTTACAAAGAATAGCTATAGATGAAGTGCACTGCTGCTCTCAATGGGGTCATGACTTTAGACCGGACTATAAATTTCTAGGGATATTATCCAATATGTTTCCAAATGTACCAATACTGGGTTTGACGGCCACTGCAACAGCACATGTTTTGAATGATGTACAGAAAATATTAAACATACAAGGCTGTTTAGTTATAAAATCTACTTTCAACAGACCAAACTTATTCTATAAAATATTAGAAAAGCCTACTTCACAAGAAGGATGTATTTCTATTCTTGAGAAACTCTTGAAGTATAGATATAAAGGTGAAAGTGGTATTATATATACAAATAGTATTAAGGACTCTGAAGATTTAGCCGAAGAGTTAAGGAAAAGGGGCTTAAAAGTGGGCTGTTATCATGCAAATATGGATCCTGACTCACGAACAAAGGTTCATAATAAATGGCATGAGAAATATTATCAAGCTATTGTTGCAACAGTTGCTTTTGGTATGGGAATAGATAAATCTGATGTTAGGTTTATAATACATCATACAATAAGCAAATCTATGGAGAATTATTACCAAGAAAGTGGTAGAGCAGGAAGGGATGGTCTAAGGGCGGAATGTGTTACTTTATATAGAATGCAAGACATTTTTAAAGTTAGCACAATGGTATTTTCTTCAATAGGTAGTCTCGATCATTTGTATGGTATGATAAAATACTGTCTTAATGGAAGATTGTGCAGAAGACAACTTATAGCTGAGCACTTTGATGAAGATTGGGGTGATACAGACTGTAATAAAATGTGTGATGTTTGCTGTAACCCTAACATTGCTTTAAGAGAAATTAGCCTTGAAAATCACTGTAAGGTGTTGTCAGTTATAATCGACAATGCTGAAAATTGTGATACAAAGCTCACTGCTCAAAAGTTGCTTGATGCATGGTTTTTAAAAGGACCAGTTAATTTAAGACATAAAGGAAAAGAACCAAATTTTTCTCGTAGTTTAGGTGAAGATGTCATAGCATTTTTATTAATTCAAGGATATCTCGTGGAAGATTTCCATTTCACAGCATACTCTACAATTTCTTACATAAAGAAAGGCCCTAATATGGATGCAGTAATGGATGATGATTTCACACTGAAAATGCCTGTTAGAAAATATTCAGAGTTTGAGCTGGATAGACCTGCACCAAAATGTTTTGATTTAAAGGACCATTTGAATGGAGATACAATATCCACAAAAGCAGAGAAATCTATGAAAAGATCCAGTTCATCCAGCGGTGAATCAAAGATAAAAAAATCAAGACTAAGAATTGACAGCGATGAAGATTAAATATAATCCTCTGAATTATTGACCTTTTTTTAATTTTTATAGAAATAATAAAAATCACACTGTATTTACTAACTAAAAAACAAAAAGAAACCATCCTAAGCATCATATATAAATATTCATTTTAATTTATTGCTATAAATGTAACAAATTATAGTAACTATCTTACTACTGGCTAAATCAATTTAAAACATTTAAAGCAACATAATAGAGCACGATCCCAGAGCCACCAGACGTCACTTATTTTCTGACGAACGAAATGTGTAAGATTGAGTAGTTTTAGTACTCACCTCATGATTTGAGTAATGTTTTACGTACCTTGATTACATGATACCTAGAAAATGGCCCTCTGGCCAAGGTAGCAGGTAGGCATGTGATCATAGTACATAGTAACACTACTCAGGTACACATTTCATTCATCATAAAGTGACGTCTGATAGCCCTGGGATCTTGGACTATAATATTCACTAATTTAAAGTTTATTGCTGAACATAGATCATTTCAAGAATTTGCCATCTGGCATGCATAAATTTCTTACATGCAACGAAATGTGTTAGCCTGGGCGTAAATGTCTGGTTTCCTGATTAAGTTTTCCATTTTCAGCTACGAAATATCATATAAAACACTGATCAGATACCTACACTTCAGTAATACTCATATTTCCGAAGCAGTAGCGATACCTGACATTAGTTTCTGGACGAACTGAAAAAATTTTGTCACTCCAAACCAACACTGACTGGCAGTAAGTTCTAAATTCCTATTTTCATTAAAATTTAGGGACAAAGGAGCTGATAGTCCAACTAATGTTAAGTAGCTATTATAGCCCATGGACAGCCGCAACCAACTTCAACAATAAGGCTACGGATGGGTTGTCACCTCTGAGGACTGAGATAGAATGCACAATTGCACAGAACTTTCATAAACCTGTATTTATACTGGACGGAAGTTGATGTAGGTGTGAACACTGATGCTTCCAGATTGTCACGGTTCTCCGTGACAATCTGGAAGCATCAGTAGAGCGCGAACTTTTAAAGGGTTTTAATGAAAATGATAGACGATTGTTGATTTCATTTAATCATACTAAAATATTTAAATCACTCAGCAATCTACTTGCTAAACTATTACTGGCTTGTTTATATAGACAAAACTAGTAGGTAGTGATCAAAAGCATTAAATTGAAAATACTTAGTTTTATAAAATCCGTATTTACGCGTCGAGTCCTAACATCGAATATAGATCTTGCCCAACTCACAGAGTACTTTTTATAAAGCCCAGCCCCTATCAGGAAATCTGATATTTGCGCCCCAAATTACTGCGTCTAGCCTGTTAAAACGCGTTTTACACTTAGTGTAGTTTCTGTGATGTTAATGCTGTTAGCCTATGCGGCTCTTACAACTTCATCGAACTCTGAGCTCGCGGCCTGAAAGCTATAAAAAAGGGGAGAGATTATTTATTTTAGTGCAACGCGATGCTGCACTAAAATCGATAAACTTAGGGAGGGGCATAATACTGTGTTCAGTTCTGTGATCACATTAACATAACATGGATGAGTTATCTAAAGGCCGCCTTAACAGGGGGTGGCAGGCCCCGGCTCTGACTGCTAACTCGTATCGTTCGATGTTATGGGCGGTTGGAATCGCCCAAGGACGCGGGTGTATGGTGTGCGCGCGGTGTGGAGGGGTGTGCGGCGCGCCCGTCTGCGGACTCGCTGCAACATTGTTAGGACAACAACGGATGGGAATCTGTTGTTGTTCTAACAATGTTTGCGGCACTAGGTGATTGTGTAGTGTTTGTGTTGTGTGACTGGCCGGCAACATTTCGGTCGTCGGAATCTAGCGGAACAGGGGCACAGAGTAAAGAGTAAGGACAGGGGGTTCGATTAGAACGTTGCGAGGCGTCCGGAGGGTTTGCGTAACGTTTGGAGTCGGAGCGTAGGTGGCCGAGTTTACTAGTAGCGGGTTCGGTTACCCTTAGTTTTAATAACTTGCTTATTTATACTAGCGTGGTAGAGTCACGCGGCAGCTTTCGCTGTCGCACGGATGGGCCGGCTCGAACCGGAGTGGTACCACGACCTCACAGAAAACCAGCGTGAAGTAGAGGTTTACCTCTGCGTTTCGCTTGGTGAGTGCAGGTGGCCGGAGGCCCTTTTTACTGGAAATGAGGCATTCAATCTTAGTCCTCACGGGTGACAACGCATCTACATTTTGATTTGTAATAGAGGATAGATGTAGATGTCTATGGGCCGCAGCAACCACTTACCATCGAGTGGACTGTGTGCTCGTTTGTCACCCTTATCCTATAAAAAAAAACCATAGCATGGGAATTAGTCTAGTAAATAAGTGAGTAAATAGTCGATTAATATTTCAAAATTATCAAGTACCTATATATACAAGTAAATAAGCAAGTAAATACTTACTTACTTATCTTCACGCACAATCCCTGACGGGGTAGCCAGAGAGAACAGATCGCCAAGTGTCACGATCCTTACAAACCTCTTTCGCTTCTTTCAGATTCATTATCTTCTTCATGCATGCACGTCTAGGTATCCGAGTACTTTTGACCCTACCCTCTTCGAGCAATTTGCTCACATGGTCTTCGAAAGTTAGTCTCGGTCTACCTCGACACCTTTTAATATTAACTTTCGCGCTATATATTTTCTTCACCATTCGGTCTTCACTCATTCGTTCAACGTGCCCAAACCACCGAAGCACGCCCTTATCAATTTTTGTGATAAGGTCATCTTTCAAACCTGCCATATTGCGAATCTCTTCGTTTCGCTTTCGGTCGGCCATGGTAACGCCGCACATTTTACGAAGAGATCGCATCTCCACTGCATTCAACTTACTTTTATGCTTCTTCTGGCATACCCAGGTTTCGCTGCCATATAACAAAGTCGGTACCAACACTGCGTTATGTATTGCAAGGCGTGCACTCTTCGCTACGCCTTGCCTTTTGACTAACGCAGTCAGGGCACCATTGACTTTGTTCCCGGCAGCGACACGCCTGTCCACATCTAAATCACATCTTCCATCCCGGCTAAAAGCACTCCCCAAGTATACAATTTCATTTACCTGTTCTAGACATTCCTGATTTACCCATATTTCACACTTCGTTCTCTCTTCGTCCCTTTCAAATACCAGAACCTTAGTTTTATTAGCATTCAAACGGAGACCTTTAATTTCACATTCCTCTTTCATACACGTGACTAATGCCTGCAGTTCTGCCTCTGATGGTGCAATAAGCACTGCATCATCAGCATACAGCAGACAATTTACTTTAATGTCACCCAATTTCACACCCAAACAACTATCTTTCAGCTTCTGTAAACAGCTGTCGAGATACAGTATGAACAGCCAGGAAGACATGACACAACCCTGCTTTACGCCCGTTTGGACGTTAAACATGGGTGACAGGTCATGCCCTACCCGCACACAGGCTTTACAGTCACAGTAAAGAGACTGCACAGCCCTTAGCAATCGACCATCCACACCATACCCCGGCAACAGTTCCCACATTTTCTTCCTTACAACCTTATCAAATGCTTTCTCAAGATCCACAAAAGCACAGAAAATCTTCTGGTTAGCAGCCAGAAGCTTCTCCGTGATCATACGGAGAGAAAACATTTGATCCGTGCATCCTCTTCCAGGTCTAAATCCGCATTGTGCCTCCCATAGAAATCTTTCCGATTTCTCTTGCATTCTACGTGTCAAAACCTTCGAGTAAACTTTACTTGCTAAACTGGTCAAGCTGATCGCCCGATAGCACCCGCAGTCAAAATGTGATGTGTAAATAGTACTTGCGTATTAGCTTAACTATTAACTTGCTTAATTATTTCACCAGTAACCTAACTATTTAGGTACTTGCGTATTGACTTGACTATTTACTTATTTATTTAACCGATTCGTTGCGACAACTATTTCATGACACGCCGGGCGTGTCAAGCGCCACAGACAAAAAAGACAAGTTACAAATGGAAGGATACTTGTTTTTAGTGGGTAACCACTGTTTTTTACGCGTTTTCTTTGAAATTGAGAGAAAGTGACTTTTTTTATGAAGAGATTACAAACCTTTTGTACTATTTTTTGTTGTTATAAAAAAATCATTTACATAAGTAGGTACAGGTAAATCACCCTGGAAACCTTGGTTTTTATTAAATTAAATTTTCACCTAATAATAACATTTGTAAATATCGAACAATGAAGAACCTTAATTTGAAAAAAATAAGGTATATCATTCATTGATATTTACAAATGTTAAATATTATTTAATGTTATACAAATTTCTTTAAAGTCGTAAAGTCGATCTGAAAACGTCTAATTAGTAAGAATAGCAAAACAAGTGTTTTCAAAAGGAAAAAAAACGCCGGCGCTATACGGCGGCGGATTGACAAAAGACTATTTATTAGCGAACTTTTTATGCATGAACGGTTTCGAACTGTTTCAAGCAAAAATAAACCTTATACCATAACACAAGAGCACATGGTACTTCGTAGGTCTATTCGGCCATATGATAGTAATAAGACGGCAGTTCAACCATTTTAAGCAAAATTAAGCAATAAGACAAACGCATTGTTTTTTTAACAGGAGACTTGTTTTCCAGAAATTTATTTACAACTTGAGTTTGTGAGCGATCGCAATGAGTGCTATTATTTGTTACTTATTAGACAATTTTTCACATACGCCAGACATAGTGGCAAATTGTACTCTTCGGACTTCTGTACAACTTGCCGAAGGGTATGTATGTGGTCTATGGTGCTAAAGTCCTTTCGGAAACCGGCTTGTTCGGGAGGCTGGAAGTCGTCAAGTCTGCGCGCGAGACGATTCGTAATGACTCTCGAAAACAGCACGTAGACGCGGCTCAGAAGGGAAATCGGTCTGTAGTTCTTCAAGAGAGCGTTGTCACCTTTCTTGAAGAACAAGACCACCGCACTTCTGCTCCACGCCTCCGGTGTAATGCCACCATGGAGGACGGAATTAAAGAGCTTCTGAAGGACTTCAAGTACCGGTCTTCCACCCGCTTTCAGAAGCTCCGCTGTAATTCCATCCTCGCCTGGGGCCTTACCGTTTTTAAGGTGCTGGAGAGCCATCCTAATCTCGCTAAAACTGACATCCGGGATATCTTCGGAATAGTGTCGGATGAGACTCGCTCTTGGATCGTTACTCACACTTGCGTGTGGCTCCAACGATGATGTGTACAGCTGCCCGTAAAACCTCTCAATCTCACTCAAAATCTCAGGTGTCCCGAAAACGATGCTGCCACATTCTGTCTTCAGCTTTGACAGTTGGCTCTTTCTGGCAGACAGATCTCTGGCAAAGATTTTGGAGCCTTGGTTCCGCTCGATCGCTTCTTCAATACGAGCTGTATTGAAGTTGCGTAAGTCCCGCCGCATGCATTTGGAGATCTGTCTGTTCAGATGCCTGTATGCTGTCAAGTCTGTTGAAGAATGTAGCTTCATCTCCCGTCTAACAGCCATGAGATTAAGAGTGTGATCGGAGAGTTTTTGTGTTCTTCTGCGGCGGGTCTTGCAGAACTTAGCTCCGACCGCATGGACAGTTTCCACGAGCTTGTCATTCATATCGTCCACTTCATTGCAGTCTTCCAGGCACTGAAAACGGTTTTGTAACTCGAGCTGAAAGGTTTCGGGACTTTGGAACAGAGCACGAGGGGGACGGAGCGTTGACTTCATTAGACGAGACCTCTCCAACTTAACGTTTAGGTTCAGTGTGCCTCTAACCATTCGGTGATCGCTACCAGTTTTCACCCTCGCGATCACGGAGACATCACTGAACAGTTGTCGTCTGGTCGTCATAATGAAGTCAATCTCATTTTTTGTGGAACCGTCGGGGCTCGACCAGGTCCACTTCCTGTGGGGCCGCTTCTGGAAGAAAGAGTTCATCATAAAGAGTCCCTCTTTCTCCATGAAGTCGGCCAGCTGTTGGCCCCTTGGGTTCCGTTGCCCTATTCCAAATTTCCCTACTTTCAGCTCACCGTTCTCTCTTGTGCCTAGTTTTGCATTGAAGTCTCCCATTAACACCGTATATTGGGTTTTGGAGGAATGCATGGCTCTAGAGATATCCTCATACATTTCCTCCACCTCCTCATCGGGGTGTGCCGAGGTTGGTGCGTAAACCTGTATGACCTTCAGCGAATACCGTTTGGTGATTCTGAGTATAAGGTACGCAACCCTCGTCGACACACTCCCGATCTTTACAACGTTGTTAACGAGAGACTTGTGGACGATAAATCCGACACCTCCTTGGGACAGATGGTTGCCCTCCCGGTGATAGAGCAAGTTGCCGGATTCGAGGATTACCGTGTCCTCCCCCTCTCTTCGGACTTCGGATAATCCTATAATATGCCAGCGCAACTTGTCTATCTCTTCTTCCAGCTCCAAGATCTTCTCGTCAGTCCTCAGGGTGCGTGCGTTGTACGTTGCCAGGTCGAGTCGTCTAAGGTGGCAACCGAACCTCCACCGGAGATTCTTAGCACCCCCTGCCCCGCCGTTACCATGGTCGCCACCGTAGCCAGGAATAGCGGGGCCGCCGGGGACTGGGGGCCGTTTTTTTGTTACTGTCATTCATAGGGGGGGTATTTGCCATAGTTGCCACGCTTGGCGAGCGGGTTGGCAACCGCAGTTTTTTTATTGTAATTTGGCTATTATCAGGAAGATGCTGCTGCCCATCTCCTGCCTGTTTCCCTTTGTCGCCTTTTACGACACCCACGGGAGGATATGGGGTAGTGGATATTCTTGACCGCCACTACACGGCAAAAATGCAGGAATGCAGGAAGTCGATGGATGCAGGTGGCTCAGGACCGTGTTTTGTGGCATTCTTTGGGGGAGGCCTATGTTCAGCAGTGGACTTGTGAAGGGCTGTAATGACGATGATGATGATGATGAGACAATTTTTCCATAACATGATTTAAAACCCACAAAGTAAAAATAGTACCATGTACACGTTAAAAAAAGGTTGTCAACCCCTAAAAATTCAAATTTTCAAAATACTCGTATCCAGAAACGAAGCTGCATGCATGAACTCCTCGCAAAATAATGAATATTTTGCTCTGGATAAATTTTCCAAAAAAGCAATTTGAGCGAGTTATAACGATTTTTAAAAAGACACGACTCGCGTGTCATACGTCACACTCAAAATTAATCGATGGCACGCCGGGCGTGTCACCCGGACTGAACCGGTTAAACACAATACAAACTGTTTGCTTCGTCGTTCAGAATGGGTACAGCAAAGGAGTGGAATAATGGTTAGCTGGAAAAGAACTTATTAGGGCTAAACTCGCTTTTGTCCATTTTATTTAAATTGATATCATCTTATAGTGTGTATTGATTATAATGAGGGTACCTATCTTTAAGGCAAGAGTGAATAGGCTTTGTTATGCTCAGTCAATGTGCTGTACCATCTTCAGCTGCATCACCACTTGAGATAGTAGACACGAACTAAATACTAAAAAAAAATCAGGTAGGGAATATGACGTTACTTTTCTTACCCTATCCTTTTCCGAACATGGATGACACACCGCCGTGTGGTCTGTTGTTCCTTTCAGCTGAACGTATACATTGTATTTTCTTTGTTCTTCTCGTTTTGTCTTCTATAAATCTCGTAGTCATTCCACAAAAAATCATGTTATGAAAATTTATCATCATTATCATTACAGCCTAGTAAAGTCCACTGCTGAACAGATAGCCTTATAGGGAAGATATTGGCCATAGTTCCCGTGTAGATGCACGAGGGTTGGGGGTAGTGGATATTACACGACACTACACGATGTGAAATTTTCATACAAGAATTAATTTCTACGAGGAGAAACATTCAGGAATGAGGACGGTCTAAATCAGGGTTTCCCAACCTTTTTTTTTTTTTACCAGGGACCACTTTGATTTTTTGTAGTTAGCAGGACCACAAGCTGAAAGAAAAAACTTTGGTAACGAAAATTTCCTCGGTGGATGATTTACTTCAGATTCCTATACAAAAACTGGCTTAATTAACGCAAAAAATATGAATGTAGGTTCAGTGCGCATGCGATCTGAATTAATTTAGGAACTCTCACAATAATTATAATCACAACTTTTAACATAGTTTTCTAATAAACTAAAAAGAAGCATTCATTAACAGTATTATTTGTGTACCTATTTATTGTAAAAACTAGTAGGTACTAACGTGACGCGCGGTGTTGCACTGCCCGCGTGACAAGAAAATAAATGTGTTATCGATTAGGTAGGTAAAATATATGATTCATTCGCGGACCATAAGTATTTAAGCTCTTGCTGACAACTGTGGGCCGCAGACCACTGGTTGGGAATCACTGGTCTAATGAAGTTAAGTATTCTCTTGGAACAATGCTAAGGCATTTGTTATCCTTTAATAAAAAATTAATTATTCCATGTTTGAATTTAATATGGTAACACCACATTACTTTGAGACTAATCATGTGGTAGAAGTGATGCTGTGATACTATATTATGAATATGATAGTAGCACGAATAGAACAGCTCAGCAGCGGAAGGACCACGCTTTCACAGAATACCGGCGTGTAATAGCATTTTAATGATGTTGTTCATATGGTGAGTGGAGAGAATCTGAATCCCTTTTTACTGAAAACGAGGCATAGAATGCCTCGTTTTCTAAGTCTCAGAGGTTACTAGGGATTACGCATCTTCATTCCTAATTGAGGATAAATATAGACGCCTATGGGCTACAGCTGTTTTATTTCTAAAAACATTATTTTTAATGTCCGTAGTTACAATGAAAAACGAAAATAATTTTATGTTGAATTGTGTAATCAACCACCAATTTAAACAATTATGTTAAAATTAAAACTCTATTAAAGATAGAAAACTTTGAAATAATTACGCTATTAAACGCGACGGCGGGGCGTGTATTGTAGTGGTGAAATCCTAAGATATTCCGTTACATTTTCTTCAAGTCCCTTTTTCTGTTGTATATCTTTTAGAGTTTTCTTTCCTTGAGATGAGCTTGATCGCATGGAACACACTGAAACATGCAACCGTCTATTTGAAATTACACTTTTCGTACATCTTTTCCAATAGCCCATGGACGGAGTGCAGCTTGATTGGAGCAAGCTGGATAATATATTACAACAGGTAAGCGTATTGGCACTAACAAGTTCCGAACACTAATGGATGTACGCAATGTAAGATTGCGTGTTAATACAGAAGCACACAAATTTGTAATTGCCCTGAGGTACTGAAGTTGTAGAGATTTTGAATAAATCAACCAAAAAATGTGGAAGCCGTTCCATTACAGCCTATCGAAAGATCACTCCTGAACATGACCCCCCCCCCCCCCCCCCACCAACAATTTTGAGTTGTTATCAGGAAAATGATTCTGTCTTTCTATTTCTATCTCCTACTTCATTTTCTCTCTGTTCACGGGACAACTTGGGGTAGTGGATTCTCTTACGATTTACGCGATTACACGGCTAATTGTTCAAAGTCTTTATTAACTTTTAATTATATGATTTTGTATAGTAATCATCGGGCGATTTTACCAAAAAAATATTGTTGCGACTGCGAGGTTTTAGCCCTTATTGCTTGGTCCTAAATTCAACCTAGAGGCACACACTTGGCCGAACCAAACTTCCCCGCATCTGTTGTAACCAACGCATATACAATAATATTGGATATCTCAAAAAACCGAGAACAAACTTCCAAGCTCGAACATAATAAATAGTTTATTGTTTCTTATTTCAAAACTATAGACGTAGGACTCGCGATGCAAACGTCGTGTAGACGAAAAACGACTTAGACAAAAAGACTATGTACATACGCTATTTGAATTCTGAACTTCGTTAGCAGTTTCAATGATTATGGAGTTCCACCAAATGAGCCGAAGATAGCTCCTAAATACGGTTGCAAATAAATTTTTAACAAACATTATAACTCCGACGTTATCGCTTATTATCTGAATTCTGTACTTCGTTAGCAGTTTCAGTGATTATGGAGTTCCACCAAATGAGCCGAAGATAGCTCTTAAATACGGTTGCAAATAAATTTTTAACAAACATTAAAGCTTTTTTACAATTCCACCATTGTGGCGGGGCGAAGGAGTATGAGGCCCTCATATCCGATATACTTACTTGTTATAATCAGTCAGATTATATTAGTCATACATTACCTGTCTTACGAGCGCTGTCTCTGCTTCTGACGCTTCTCCTCCCCGTGTCCAGTACACTGAACCCCGAGGCTTTGGACCTTGCTGAAGAGCATTCGCTGTCGATCCCCAAAGCGTCGAGCGCCCGCATGCGCTCAGCTATTTGGTCTTGTATCATATCCCGGTGTGCATCCGCTTCTCCGAGCATTTCCATCTCAGCCAACCAGTCGGCCCGTTCGCGAATTTGTGTAACCACTAATGAAAATATAGTGTTTGGATACGGGTTTTTATTTTCTTTTCTACCGACTTCAAAAAGGAGGAGGTACTCAATTCAACTGCTTTTTTTTAAATATGTGTTACCTCATAACTTTTTTCTAGGTGAAGCGGTTTTAATGATTCTTTTTTTTATTTGAAAGCTGGTGCTTCTCATGGACCACATGTATTCATCAATGTACTCGAAGTCAATTAAATATGCATTATTAAGGATAACTCAAAAACTACTGGAACAAACGAGAAGCACCAGCTTTCAAATAAAAAATCGGTTCACCTAGAAAAAAGTTATGAGGTAACACACATAAAAATATACAGTCGAAATGAGTACCACCTCTTTTTGAAGTCGGTTGATAAATGTTTGTAATGTGTTTTGTAGGCTACATAAGAGGGCAAGCATGCTACTAGTGTTACGATAAATCTGCTTATAAACGATGTAACTATTTTATTACAGTTTTTACAAAATACTTGAGGATAGCCGTCATAAGGATTAGGCGAGATTGAGCCTTGGTAGCCACGCCCTAAGTTTAATCAAGGTCTGACCAGTAGTTTTTGAGTTATCCTTAATAGTTTATATTTATATGAAGTCAGTTGTACAATTTTATTTTATTTTACCACTTGTTCTTATGCAGCTTGCAAACCAATCAATATAATGTTCTCATGTTTGAAACCATAAAATATAAATTTTTCATGTTCTGTGTCTGTGTTTAAGCTAAATTACTAAAACTGGGCGTCTCCCATAGCACAGAGGATTCGCTGTAATAAGGCATGTGTCTAGCAGGCGTATTGTGCACGTTTATCATAAATACTATTAGAAAAATCTATCCGATTTCGTACCATACATTGTCGCAAGAGAACTATGAATAATACTAGAATTTGTTTTTTATCATCCTTTTCTCAGCTTTTGCTCGAATCTCGTTTTGCGCAACGTAAAATACCTGGACGGCTGGCGTTAAAGATGCGAAATCTCCGGTCCTGCGATCGTCAATCCACCATGAATGTTCTCCCAATAACGGGAGAGGACCATATCCAGCAGGAGATTAACGAGCTAATGAAGAACAGACGTCTCGCATCTCTGATGTTGCACTATGTTGCCATTTCAAATCAGATTTTTCCCTTAATCGCCTTTATGTCCTTACCACTCGGCATATGTTACTACTTAACAGATAAATTGTTTTATCTTTATAAGGTAAACTCAATCGAACACATTATGAGGATCCGTCGTGGATTCTTTATTAGAAACCTTTTTTAACGTGAACGCTCAACATATCTCCTGTGTAGATTTTCTAAACGCCCATAATATAGTGAAAAAATCACAAGCTGGAATTATACTACCCACCTTTCTGCTGATATAATTGTTATATTTTTACCTTTAACTTTTTACTTGTATCGAGTGTCTCCAAATCATTTCATCTTAGTCCTCAAGGGCGACGATGCATCTGCATTTTGATTCGTAATCGAGATTAAATGTAGGTGTCTATGGACTAAGGCATTCATATCAGAATCAGGTGGACTGTGTGCTCGTTTGTCACCCTTATCTTATAAGATGCTGGAAATAGTTCTACTCTTCGTGCCAGTGCGTTCTTACTTCTTATACGACCTATTTCAAATACACTAAATCCCCATACCTTTTCTATATTGGTATTCAAAGGATGAATAACAACATAGAAAAGGTATTGAATGAAACTTCTGCTTACGATCATGCCACATCTCTTTGTTTGTGGGCAGCTTAGGCGGCTGTTTGACCAGGCGAGGCAGTGTTGACGGTTGCAGACCCTGTTCCCCGAAAGCCATGACGCTTGCAAGTCTTTCCTTTAGCTTGTCGCGGTCTTCGCCACGATTTAACGGTTTATATCTAAAGAACAAAAAGGTCGAGCGTCAGTTTATATTTGGGAAAGTGATTTTTTTTTTATAGGATAAGGGTAAGATTGGCTTTTAAGGAATAATAAAGGATTTATTCTAGTCGTCATCAGTTTGAGTAAGAATCATCACCAACAATCTAATTTATTATAACAGATTTTGTATAAGAATAATTGATCACAATGTAATTAAAATAGTATTGCAAATTAAAAAAAAAACATTAAACATATATAGCAGATAAACCGGAACTGTATCTTACGCCTCTACAACTCGACAACTCCAACACGTAATTGGCATTTCTTTTGTCATTAAAAAAGAAGATTATAATTAATAGTCTTTAGTGCTAAAAAAACACGAAGTAGGTACATGTTACGAGAGGAACTTACGAATCTATCTCAAAAACACCAGAAGCACGTATAGCAGAAAGTGAACGACGACAAGACGTACGCGGTCGAAAAGACCTCACGTTTTCCCTTACTGGAGGTGTTTCTTTAATTTCATTTTGGCGTAAAGAGTATTCGGATTTTCGCCGCTGTGCAGCAGTCAGCCTTGACTCCTCTAGCAACACTAAAAATTAAATAGAATAGAGCAATTCTTATTCAATCTATATAGACTTATAAACTTATTACAACTCATGTTTTACCATTACTTCGGAATAAACCTCCATTCTAGGTTAAGCCAGCAAGGGACTAAGCTCAGCGAAAACTTTATACCTACATCGATAATATCATAAAAGGCATGATGTATAAAACACAACGCTTAAAAAATAATCAGAACCTAAATAACTAACAATAGACATATTACAATACACAAAACAATTTTAAAAACTAAAGATATAGGCTACATAAGAATATCTTTACTCATGTTTAACAGGCTGTAAAAGTCCAATGCTGGACATGGGTCTCTTTGTCGTAGTGGGAAAAATTTGCCTGAACCGTCACGTTTAGCAGGCGAATTGATGATCATAGTACCTGACTCCAAAAGTAAAAATATTGAATATTATATGGGTTTGGGAAATAAAATTGTTTTCATGTTAAGAGCTTTAATAAGGTTGATGATGACGATGTAACCTTAGGAACTTTACAAATACATAAATTAATTTAAAATTAAGTATTTATATGAAACAAAACTACAAAATATATTTTATTTCATTGTAATAATCTGACTGCACTAATAAATAATTACATTTTAGAAACTCTTGCTGATTAGTCGAGTATTCACTGGCGCGCGTATGAAAGATGCCGCCATGAGGAATGTTTTTACTAGGCCAAGTTATATTTACATATCCGTTTGCATCTGGTTTCTCCATATTATTATAAAAAGTATAAAAGTTATTTCTAAAAATCTTTACGTAACATACGTCTCACGTTTTATATTACCTATTTTGAAATTTCCCCGGCAACGATATCGAAAAAACATAACATAAGTATGTTTCATTTTACGTAAATCTACTCAGAAACCAAAGAGTTTGTATAGGTATCACCACGTTTAACAAAAACTAAAAACCTATGCTAAAGACGGTTTAAGTACTTATCAAAATTATTGTATTGTAAAGATTGACTCCTTAATTATTGTAATTTATACAGAGGTATTCAAGATGATAATAATAAAAATAAAAATTATAGAAACGTGCCCGTGCGTGTAATGAAGAATTTTTTTTTAATAGGATAAGGGTGACAAACGAGCACACAATCCACCTGATGGTAAGTGGTTGCTGTGGCCCATAGACATCTACATCTATCCTCTATTACAAATCAAAATGTAGATGCGTTGTCACCCGTGAGGACTACGATGGAATGCCTCATTTCCAGTAAAAAGGGCCTCCGGCCACCTGCACTCACCAAGCGAAACGCAGAGGTAAACCGCTACTTCACGCTGGTATTCTGTGCGGTCGTGGTACCACCCCGGTTCGAGCCGGCCCATCCGTGCGACAGCAAAAGCTGCCGCGTGGCTCTACCACTGTTAGAAGAATATGGGCAGAAGCATCTTTTTGTTAAAAATTCAATAATAACAAAAAAAACCTTCCTTAGCATGGCAATTATGGAAAATATCCCATTATCTAAGTATACCCGTTCTATCCTACAACCCCATCTATGCGCGATGCTTGTGTTATTAAAATAAGACCTGAGCAGTTTTGTATATTTTGTATTTGCTGTTTCCGTTTTTAAATTGGTGGATTTTTGTTGCAATAAATTGAATGAATAAATTAATGGGGACTCAACAATCCACTAATTTTCTGCCGCTAGGGCGGCGCCACTTTGGAATGAGGTGAAATATTTGATTAATTTATCAAAAATAAATAATAAAGCGGAATTAAATTGCTATTTTTACTGGAAACGATGCCTTTCATCTTAGTCCTCAGGGGTGACAATCACGCGTAGTGTTTCTATATAGTTTGTGGCGACTGGTGGCGACAATGTCATCTGCATATTGATTCCTCTTCTAGGATTGTTGTAGATGTCTATGCGCTGCAGTATCCGCTTACCATCAGATGGACTGTGTGCTCGTTGGTCATCAAAAAAAAAAGAATATTAGTTATGTTAAAATTAACACAACAAAGTACGAATATTCCTAACATTAAAGAATTAAAAAGCGTTAGAAGTGCGCAAAAAAATCACTGAGGCATTGTTTTATATATGTTTATAGTGATTCTAGAGACCAAAAAAGGAACTTTTCTTTGTAACTCAACTTTTCACTTATTACACTTATTAAACTTACAAAATGTGAGAAATAACCTCGCGTACTTGTATATATATAGAGGACAGTGACCTCTATCTATATACAAGTACCTCACCTCAGTCCTAACAACTAACGACATCTATTGAGCGGAAAATTATTAGCCCTCATTGAAAGAAATGTATGGACAATAACCGTTTAGACGAAAAAAAAAACGTTCACTGAGCGATCCCTATCCAGTGGTCGCAGTTTCATACAAAATATTTAAGTAATGTAGAAAGAATGAATGAGGAAAGAGTGACAAAGCAAATTTATGTTGCAGAGGTGAACGGCATAGTCCCTAGGCGAAAGTTTATCGACCAAATTGGCGATATATTAAAAATGGGCCATATCAAGAGTATCTTTAACCGACGAGCGTGTATGCGTAGGTATATGGATGTGGAGGAAGCGAGAGAGGTGTGTCAGGATCATGCCAAATGGAAGCCCATAATCTCTGCCTACCCCTCTGGGTGACAGGCGTGAGTGTTTATGTTATGTTATGTTATGTTATTTAAGTAATAAGCGGTTTTCTGTGCTACGATGCGACCCGATAGGTGGATGCCTAATTTTATGAAGCGTATTGATTAATAAACCCTTTGATTATTACAACAAGAGAACAAGAAGGTACCTATCTAGTAAAACGTAGTGACTATACACTCTTTCGTGTATCTACTGCGATTTATTTTAATTGAAATATTATCTCTTTCTGGTGATTCCGGTGTGTAGAGGTCCAATGAAGCTGTAAAATCCATAAGGCTAACAGCACAAACATAATCATAAACCAGTATATATAGAGAGCCGGTGTAATTACAGGTTGTGATACATTTCATCATAGTACTCAGGAGTGACAACGCATATTATGTACTTAGCCTTTTATAGTTGCAGTTGGTTACAGGTGGGTTACAGTAGCCAATTACTATCAGGACGACTGAAAGTTCGTTTTCAATTTGTCACTATTTATTTAAAAAAATGATGTAAATAAAAAATAAAATAAAAAATGGGATAATATGTGTCCGCAGTCTTAAGTCTGTGATTTTAAAGGAAAAAGTAAGGCAATGAATACCAGCGTAAAATAGCAGCTTAAAACTGCTGTGTTTCTTATGGTGAGTGTAGAGAACTGGAGACCCTTTTTACTGGAAAAGAGGCATTCCATCTTAGTCCTCACGGGTGATAACGCATCTGCATGCGAGGATACATGTAGATGTCTATGGGCCACAGCAACCACTTACCATCAGGTGGACTGTGTGCTCGTTTGACACTCTATCTTATAAAAAAAAACTTGGGAGGTCAATTACTAAAATATGTCTATCTTGTGCAGTTCATAAAAAGTTAGGTCATATGTTTGTTTTTTAAATTATGAAGTTGTTTCTGGTTATGTGTCAAGAGTTTTTTTTAATTAAATGTGTGGGGCTGTATCTACGGAGCGTCATAAATAAATGAAATGATGATTTAGGTATTATAATTTTTATTTTTTAATTAACAATAGCTGTTCAAACTGCTCCCTTTCTACTCTTATAAGAGATATTTATAAGAGTAGAAAGGACGCCATTCACAACACACACAAAAGAGGCTCTGCGACATCTTATAACAGATCTTTAATACCGGGTTTCCACGCTTGCCAAGTCTCGGCAAGCATCCACAAGCACAAGTGTGTAAAGAGGGCGTTTGGCTTGGCTTGCGTGAGCTTGTGGACGCTTGTGTCGGTTTTGGACACAGATCAAAGGGCGCTTGCAACGCATTCACACGTTGGTGTGCGTTTAGTAGAAATTGTGATTTCGCGACATGCGCATGTTTAGTTCTTTGTTTAAAATGAGTGACTGGTCGAACGAAGAGAGTTTATCGTTTCTGGAATATTACCAGAGCGAATCGTCTATCTGGAACCCCAAAGACGTTAATCATAAAAATAAAGTTGCAAATGCTTTTAGTCGTCTTGCCTAGTTAACGGGAAAGCCAGTAAAAGAATTAAAAGCCAAAAATTCCTTGTTTTTGTATTACTTTGCTTGTATTTCAAATAAAAGTATGTTAATTCAAACGCAATAGCCGACACAAGTTCGGTGTCCGCCATGCTTGGGTTTACGTAGCACACTGACGCATTCACAAGCATGAAAACGACTTCCAAACGCCAAAGGAGATTTGTGGACGCTTGGGGCTTGAAGACGTTTGCCGAGGCTTGGCAAGCATGGAAACCCGGCATTAAACAGGCTCGTATACTCACCATGTTTTATTTTTTGACAGCTCACAAAACAGGTATCAAATGAATAATGCATCTGGTAGGATACATTCTGTCCAAGCATCGTCTAACAGGTGCAGCGTAATGTGCTAGACACCCATCATTCTGAATCTATACTCTTTGTCAAGTCGCCAAGGGTACCTATTCTTACAATCCGAGAAGATCATTTTGGATACCCGCAACACAGATGGTCAATTTTTATAAAAACGGCTGCACCAATATTTATTTTCTAAGTTTTTTAGCAAGCCTAGACTTTACCGTCCTGCATCATACGACTCACGACTCACGAGTCATACGACCTCAGTCAAAATGTCTGGCGATCTTGTTCTGTTCTCACTGTTCTCGGAGTCACAAACTAATAGAAAGTGTATGCTGTTCATATCAGGGTTTTGGTGGGAATTTGACCGCCGGCTCATTGCTGTTCTTGTTTATGGGAATACTTTGAATTGGATTTTTATTCATAAATGGTCTGCACATGTGAACTATTAGTGGAAACAATCGCTTCGATGATAAAATAAACCTTAGTTCGGTTTATCAGCTCAAAGGCCTAGAGATAATATCGTCATCAACTGTTCTCTGGGTTAAGTTGTCGTCAGAACTTCGCAATGTAACGCATCAGCAAAATTTACAACGGACACTTCAATTTTTAAAATTTCGACCGAAGGACTCTGTATCCATGGTCATGTTATAAATTTAAAAAAAAAACATAACGTAAATTTGGCGGTAATTTTGGTATCAAATCAATCAAAACTATATAATAAGCTAAAGCAACATTTGGGTAGAATCTACTAGTTAGTCTGTGAAAGCAACGCTTAATAATAACAACTTATAATGGATAAATCCGTTGGTACCACTATTGAGAAAATAAAGCTGCAAGAACTAAACAATGAAGCCAAATTAAAAGAAAAGCGAGAACGTAAGATATATTATTTATAATTACATATTAGTTATTATTAAAAAACAAATCAATGGTCACAACTATCTCATCATTATTATCCTTTACTCTCTCCATTTTGTAGCGGAAGGTATACTCGTTGAAGAAAAAACAACGTGGCAACTATGGCAAATGAGGCAATCTACGGTGGTTGCTTATGTTCAGCAATAGACTTTTAATAGTTTGTAATAGATAAATGAATTCCAGCTTTCTTGCAGATCGGAGCATCAAGGTCGTTGTAGACGGTGCATGCTCCGACTACAAGCCTATTAACGCTGGTGTTCCACAAGGCTGCGTGCTGTCACCAACGCTGTTTCTTCTGCATATCAATGATATGTTGCAAGCTGGTAGCATTCATTGCTATGCAGATGACAGCACTGGTGATGCTCTATACACCGGCCGTGCCAATATTTCTCGGGAAAACGTCACCGAGTACCGGAACAAACTTCTGTCTGAAGTCGAGTCTTTGCTGGACAAAGTCTCGGATTGGGGGCGACTAAATCTAGTCCAGTTTAATCCTCAGAAGACACAAGTTTGCGCGTTTACCGCTAAAAAGAACCCCTTTGTCGTATCTCCTCAGTTTCAAGGTACTCCCCTTGTTGCCTCAGCCAGTATCGGAATCCTCGGCGTCGACATATCGAGTAGCGTGCAGTTTCGTGGTCACTTGGAAGAGAAGGCCAAATTGGCCTCTAAAAAGCTTGGCGTGCTCAGCAGAGCGGGACAGTATTTCATGCCGGCTCAACGCCTGCAACTTTACAAGGCGCAGGTTCGGCCTCACATGGAATACTGTTCCCATCTCTGGGCTGGGGCTCCCCAGTGCCAGCTTCTTTCACTTGACCGCATCCAGCGCAGAGCGACTCGAATCGTCGACGACCGAGTCCTTTCCGATCGGCTCGACTCATTGGCACTGCGAAGAGATGTTGCATCTCTTAGCATTTTCTTTCGCATTTACCATGGGGAGTGCTCTGAGGAATTGTTCGGATTAATCCCAGCCGCCAAATTTCACGAACGCACATCGCGGCAGAACTCCCGATACCATCCACACCATCTGGATGATTGGCGGTCCACCACTGTGCGATTTAGAAGATGTTTTCTTCCTCGCACAACTTCCTTGTGGAATAGTTTACCACCAGCGATTTTTCAGGACCGATACGACTTAGGGACCTTCAAGAAAAGAGCCTACACCTTTTTAAAAGGCCGGCAACGCATCTGCAATTCCCCTGTTGTTGCGGTTGTTCATGGGCGGCGGTAGTCACTTACCATCAGGTGAGCCGCATGCTCGTTTGCCCCCTCTCCTATAAAAAAAAAAATGAATATTGCACTAATGCTTAAATTATTTAATTAATTTAAAAAGGTTAGGATCCACCAATCCCACACTGGGATCTTTTCAAGAAGCGTGGAGACATTTTACCTATACAAATAGCACAAAAATTTTCAGACCCGTTCAGTTTTTTTGTAGTAGTGTGCTTAAAGTGCATTGTTTGTAGTCAATATAAACACTTGATCCAAACTTGTGGCATTAGAACTCGCGGCCCGCAGCGCCACAGACAATCTCATAATAGCTACTGTGGTAGTGAACCATTATAATATACTTTAATGGTTTATCTATACATATAAAAAGTTTTGGCGGGAACTTGATCGGTGGCGATTTGCTGCTCCTGTATTATTGTTTAAATAATGATTTGAAGTGGACTTTGATATGTAAAAGTGGTGCGAGTTTGTGTCTACGCATGTGAACTATTAGTGGAAACAGTGAACGCTTAGGCGCCTTGAGATACCATTGCCAACTGTCAGCTGTCTGCTGACTCAAGTTGCCGTCAAATCTCCCAAGGGCTGCACAATGTGACGCATCAACATATTGTGAAGCAGTGTACTATGAAGGATAATTATTGTAACTTCAGGCTCAGAAGGGAAACCAGAGCCGTAAAGCCAGTTATAAAAAAATACATATAAATAAAATAAATTGTCTGTCTGTAATATAGAAATAACTGGCTTCTTTTAAGCTCAGGAGTTATTAACCAGCTATTAACATAACCATTTAAAAAAATATTTTGTTTGTCTGTCCGGGCTAATCTTCAGAATGGCCGAACCGATTGTGATGAAATTTCACGGACAGTTAGTAACGCCAGGAGTGATATGGTTTCCGGAAAAAAATGAAGATTTTTTTTTTTGGTAAATCTCAAAAATGTTAAAATAACTGATATTTGATTATTATCTTACTCTCATATCATTAAATCTAAAAATTTAAATGAGTCCACATGAATAGATGTTACCCATGGACGTATAAAAAAAGGCTCATTCAATATATTGTTTCATTCAGTTCTCAGCCTATATTACGTCTTGACAATCGACAAAGAGCAGGGTCAACCGGCCGGCACCTGTACCAGCTGGCTTTCAAATTTACACTTCTATGTGGCCCTTTCCAGTGCTAGCAATTCCGACATTTTTTTTTCTCTCGCCACCCTCTTACTGCTTACATTACCGCCCTGACCGGAAACCGATTTGGAGGACTGAATTATAATAAGTAAATGAAAATAAACTAATTTAAACGCTTTACCATCAATTAATATCGGCGCATTACTTGACAGCGATGATTTTTATATATGTCCATGATGTTACTTAAGTCACCTGCCACTAATTTCTCACCACGCCGTGGGTTGACTGGCAGAGAATACTAACTGGCATTAAGTGCGCCCTTTGTAACTTTTTTATTGGTTAGAACAATAAAGTTTTTAAATTAATAAATGTTATCCATGTGAATCCGGGGCGGGCTAGCTTAATATAAGATCACAAAGCAACAAGCTTTTTACTTGAAATGTTTTACGCAGTCGAAGCAACAGTAGCGTCACTTAACAGGAATCTACGTGAAACCATTACACTGGTGGAGAAATCAGAACAGGAACAATCTGAGTTAACAAAAAGAATCGGTAAACTTCGATGCCAAGTGGAATTGGCAAGAATACGTCGTGACGCTTTATTAACACAAATTGACGCCTATAAAAATGAGTTGGAAGAGTTGAAAAATAAATCGGTAAATATAATCCATGATTAAATAGCGATATGTTCTTTCTACAGTAACAGGGTACCATAGACTAACGAACAGGCTCCTTCTCCTGATCCGATAGTACATAATTTATGTCCAAAGCAAAGCAAACGCGTAGTGTTTCTATATAGTTTGTAGTCCAAAGTATTATCGACATCATCACCACAGCTTATCAAAAGTCCACTGCTGAACGTAAAGCCGCGTATCCGTTAAAAAATGTTGCCAATAGTTATGTTTCCAACTGCTTACAACTGTTTCCAACAAGCGTCTCCACCGAGGGAACAAATGTTTGCAACAAGCGTATTCCTTTGATGTTGCCGCTGAAAGTGGAAACATGGTTCCCGACATTGTTTCAAGTTTTGTTTCCAAGTGTTGTGTTGGCAACAAAACTTTGGTGGAGACGCGGCTTAACCCTCCTCCATAGGATGACATCACAGGAGAGCTATTTGACATAGTTGCCACGCTTGTTAGGCGGATTGGCCACCGTGTTTTTTTTTTATTTTTAGTTGTTATTGGGACGCTGACGCTTATCTCCTAGTTTGTTTCCCCCTGTCGCCTCTTACGACACCCGCGTTACGATATGAGGTAGTGCAGTGAATATTCTTACAATGCTACACGCTAAACGACATTATTTTTGGTAAAATATTGTCATTAATTTAAAAATGATTATTAAAATTGTCTCCTTAGGTGAGTTCGCAATTTTGTGCTTAGAGCAAGCTATGTTTTGTATCATAAAGTAATCATGAAGTAACAGACTATGTAATTATTACGAAATATGCAGTTTTAATAAATTTAGGAATTAAATAAACCCTGCAAACCCTGTTCCCGCATACTGGACAAAACTCCCGCAAAGATTTTAAGACAACATCATACTCATAAAATCTTATTCTGAGCTTCTATCTTTACAAAGTGTTTACTTAAAAATAAGAGTCAATTTCATAGCATTACTAAAATGTTTTCAGTTATCATATTAAGTAATGAGCGCTGGCGCCCAGCAATTATTTAGGTATTTTTTTAACTTTATACATTTTACCTTTATTTATTATACCTTTGTATTTAAATAGGATGAAGGTATATCGAGCGTTTGGTGCCTACGATCGTCCATATGTCATGCGGTACAAAATGCGTCCGACAACTATGATATTTGGGCTCTTCTTATGAAACCTATAACTGTTGAACCTTCACCACAAATTAATAACCCGTCAAGTGATGATCAACATCAGGCTTTAGAATTCGAAGGTAAACTAAAGGAAGCACTGCAAAGAAGGGAAAGTGCTCTCGCAGAGCGAGAACGCTTGTTGAATGAGCCAGACACCGGAGAAGAATTCATACGGTATATCGACTTTAATATCACCACAATTTACGTACGTTATAGTAATTATATTCTTAAATACTAATAAAGGGATTAGGTATAAGAAATTGGGTATAAATAATGAGGTGACTTTTTTGTCCTGATGACCAGATGGTAATTAGCTTCTGTAGTCCATTGACACTTGCAGCGAAATTCAAATAATAAAAACTAAAGATGTGTTTTTACCTTCGAGGATTAAAATGGAATGCCTCACTGCCTTCAGAGCGAAACAGAAGTACAGGCGCTGCTGCTTGGTGACAAAAATAGATAAGAAGGTTTTGGTACCTAGCCAAACTGACTCCTAGGCAGAAAAGGAGCCTTACCACCTAGTTAAAGTAGAAATGTAAATTTCTGTCATTTCTGTCAGGGCTTGTAATACCTTCTACTCTAAATGCTTGCCGCACCAGCGCGTAATGCACTCTATTAATCTTTACAAATAAATAAAATTGAAGTGTCTGTTGGTAATGTCGAAATAACAGCTTTTTACTATATGCAAATGAAAGTATTTACGGTACTTATAACAAAAACACGATTTTTTAATTTTTGTCTGTCTGTCTTTCTTTCTGTCTGTTTGTTTTTTCCGGCTAATCTCCGAAACGGCTGGACCGATTTTGACCGGACTTTCACTGGCAGATAGCTGATGTTATATAAAGTAAGTTAGGCTATTTTTATTTGAGAAAAAGAATTAGGGTTCCGCGCAAAAAATCAAAACCCATGAAATCCAATCCTAATAAATTACGCGCGGGCGAAGTCGCGGGGAACAGCTAGTCATTAATAATACATTTTATTTCTCTCAGTACACTCACTCGACGCTAACCTTACGAGATTTGGATGATGGATTATCCTAAGATGCCCTGCCCGACACAACTTTAAAAGTCTTAAGTTATTTTTTATTACATATTTGATTGATATTCCTAATAATGTTTATTTACAGCATCAAGAATGCTTTGAAATATTCAATAGAGAAGGTAACGAGTCTGCGTAGTAATTGAAAAAAGATTTCAATTTAAATAAAAATTAAATTTGTTTTATTTGTGTATCCAATACCAATTTAAAAGGTGCTTACTAGACAGACACCTGCTTAAACATGGTTGCCTAGAGGTTGCAGTCGAATTAAAAATGGCAACTCAAACTTTTTAAGTTTTTTATATACTGTTATTTTGATATTATTGTTAGATTTTCTAAAAACACCAACGATATTGTTCAATATTACGATTTCTGTGTTAAAAACAGATGGGCATAGTAATCACACGGTGAGGTCTCGAACTATACGAAACGCATAAAGATCAAGGTTATTCTTCGAGATGCATTAGAACGTGCACACGTTAAGACACATGCAGACATCTATAAAAAAAAACATAGACCACCTACTGCCATTACACACCAAAAGGATTGGAGCATCGGTATTACGACGCGCCACTCTCCCTACCGTCAGCGACCGAAACTTGGTCGGTGGGACAGCTAGTATCCTTATAAAATCAATATAATCTTTTATTTTTAATTAACTACTACTAAATATTTAAAAAAAGAATTACTGTACGTAATTACTTGGTGCATATCGGGTAAATACGGATACCTGTTGAGGTAATTGCGGGGTTGGCTATTTGGCCATAGACACTCGGTACTTGATTTTAATTATTATCAGTTTAGGAGGTTTGTCAGGGTTAAGCTTGAAACTTTTACTCTTCTACCTTTTTTGGATGTCGGAAATGCGTTATGAATTAATTACGATAAGATAAATCTCACTACAAATTGTGTACAATAAACGCAAATATGTCTAGTCTATAATTTTATGTAGTAGACGTCCAGGACTATTTAATTTTAATTATTTTTTCAGTTTAGGAGGCTTCTCAGGGTTAAACTTGAACCTTTTACACTGTTTTTGAATTAATACAATAAAAATAAATTTCACTAAAAATTGCATATAACGATACGCTTAAATGTTTATTTTATTTACCACGGGTACATCCAGAAAAAAGTTAATCACTTGGACTAGTTTGCAGTGTTGCCGATTTGTGGGGAATTCCCCAAACTGCGGGGAATCTCAAGTTGATTGGGGATTTATTGGGGATTGGCATTATGCGGGGAAAATGCGGGGATTTTAACATCTTCGTTAATATACTTTTTCGAAAATACCAAATACTTTCATATTTTTTTTAATTTAGGTACTTATGGATAACGGAGGACTCAATACTCTTTATTGCACTTATCTTTTTTCTTTCGCCAATTGCTTGTTGCTCCTGTTTTATCGTTTAAATAATGATTTGAAGTGGGTTCTGATACGGAAAAGTGATGCGATTTTGTGTATTAAGTGTCTGCGCATGTGAACTATTAGAGAAAACGATGAAACAAGTGATTTGATGTTGATATAAACCTCAAGATATTTTGATCACTTAGGCATCTTATGAACTTAAGTGACTGTCGTCATCGAATTTCCACTGGGCTGAGCTGTCGTCCAAATCTCACATAAACTTCGCAATGTGACGGATCGGCATATTGTAAGTAAAAATATCTATTAAAATGAAGATCCCGAATGAGAAGAAAACATCGCTTAAAAGACAAGCATCCAAGCCAAAAATCTTAATATTTTTTCTGATCTATGGTCGCAATAAACCAAATTGAATGAAAGCTAGAAATATCGGAAAGTATACCGACACTATGATTAGGGGATTCCCTTTCTTTTGACGTTTTGTGAAATAGTGAATTTCTTAACATTATAATATTATAATACGTATTTTGTCGAGCCGTAACGATACTATCTTGTACAAATATGGATAAATGGTTAATGAAAGGCCAAAACAAAGAATATAATCCTAAGGTAAGGTAATTAATAGCCTTTTTATTTATTTGTGTGCGATCATGAAACATTAGCAGGTTACCGTCTGTCAGAAACTCAGTGATTATAACTATCCTAATTTTTGGTTTTTAGCTTGAACGTAAAAGGAAACCCGAAAAGGAAACATCAGAGGCTTCAACTTCTAGTATAGAAGTAGAATATGCTGTTCCCATTCCCAGTTCCAGTTTGACTTCAGTGGGCTTGGCAACAAGTGAGTCAAATAATCCACAAACTAAAAAAATAAAACGCCTGAATAAATTTAACGATTTATGGCTTCAAGAACCAAACTTCTTGAGCTGGCTATGCAAAGATTCGAAAATGAAAGATGGAAATGATTTAGCACACTGTATGCTTTGTTCGGTGTCGATCATAGCGCATAAAAGTGATCTGATTCGACATATGAATTCAGATCGCCATAAGAAAAAATCATTAGAAATACAGAATATTCCAAAAATTTCAAATTATTTGCCAGTGACGGATTTAGAAATAAATGTACGAAAAGCTGAACTAAAATTAGCCGGAGCGTTGGCTGAAAATAATATACCAATATCATTTAGCGACATCTTGGGCCCACTCTGCAAAGAGATTTTCGCAGACTCAGTTATAGCTAAAAATATGAATTTACACAGAACCAAGGCGACGGCTATAATAAATAATGTTTTAGGAAACACATTTTTAGAGGATATATATGAAAAATTACGCGGAGAAAAAATCTTCTTTTTTTTTTTTTTTTTTTTTTACTAGGATAAGAGTGACAAACGAGCACACAGTCCACCTGATGGTAAGTGGTTGCTGCGGCCCATAGACATCTACATCTATCTTCTATTACAAATCAAAATGTAGATGCGTTGTCACCCGTGAGGACTAAGATGGAATGCCTCATTTCCAGTAAAAAGGGCCTCCGGCCACCTGCACTCACCAAGCGAAACGCAGAGATAAGCCTCTACTTCACGCTGGTTTTCTGTGAGGTCGTGGTACCACCCCGGTTCGAGCCGGCCCATCCGTGCGACAGCAAAAGCTGCCGCGTGGCTCTACCACTGTTAATCTTTTCATTAATAATGGATGAAACGACTGATCAGAGCTCTTTAAAACAATGCTGTTTTACTGCTGTTGTCTATGATGAGAACACCAATAAGGTAGAGCATTTGTTTCTGGATATGGTGGAATTGTCATCAGGAACTGCTAAGGGACTGTATGACTGTTTACATCAAATGCTTCGAAATAAAAACATATCGATAGAAAACAGTTCAGTACAGTTTAGTTCAGATACCACAAACGTGATGGTTGGAGAACATTGCTCTGTTTTTGCTCTTCTTAAAAAAGATTTGCCTCACATTGCTCTGGTGAAATGTTCTTGTCACATGATACACCTATCATCATCTAAAGCTTGTCTTAAATTGCCTCGAAACGTTGAAGATTTTTTGCGTTCTGTTGGAGCTCACTTCAGTAGAAGTTCACAAAGACAACTAAAATTTAGAGAGTTTCAAGAATTCTTTCAAGTGGAGATTCACAAAATTCTCACACCAGCTCAAACTCGATGGCTCTCGCTGAAAGCGTGTATAGACCGTGTCTTAGAGCAGTATACTCCATTAAAAGCCTACTTGACAGAAACAGTCTTCTCAGATCCGTCGAAGACTACCGAAGAAATGCTGATTACAATGAACAACCAATTCACTGTGGTATATTTGGAGTTCATGTCTTACGTACTTGCACTGGTAACAAAATTCAATGTCTTGTTTCAATCAGAAACTTCCCTTCTTTACAAATTGAAACCAGAAGTCGAAAACCTTTTGAAAACGTTGTCTTCTAATTTCATGAAAATTAGCTATATCAAGTCCTGTGCTAATATTTTAAACGCAGACTTCAAAAACCCAACACATTTTCTAAGTTTAAACGAAATATATATTGGATTAAAGGCTGGAGAAAGTATTGAAATTTTAAAAAATGACGAAAATGTACCTCGTGCTGCTATTGCAGATTTCTGTAGAACCTGCCAGGAGTTTTATATTGAATTGACGTCAGATATTACCAAGCGATTTGATTTTGGGGATCCTCTATTTTCTATTATATCCGCTGTAAATCCATCAGAAGCTCAACAGTTTCTAATTAAATCACTTGTGCCTGTACTGAAGCGATTTCCAGTGCTTTATAAATTTGTGACCGCACAAAACTTAGATGACGAGTGGCGAACTCACGCTTTGTTAGATTTTGAGCAACATGGGCTTGAAATTCATGGAGATAACATCAATGCCGAAAGTTACTGGGGTAAAGTATTTCGCCTTAAAAATGCTGCGGGAGAATACATGTTTCCAAACATAAAAATTGTTATGTCTTTGTTGCTCATATTGCCATTTTCAAACGCGTCGGTCGAAAGAAAATTTAGTGCGCTTCGATGTTTAAAAACAGAAAATCGCAATCGGCTAAATACAGGTACTGTAGTGTCTTTAATGGCAACAAGAGAGGGTATAAAAAAATTGGGCGGCAGTGCCAAGTTTAATCCTTCCAACAAAATGCTTGCATCAAACGTATGGAAAAAGTGCAACAAAGGTTAAAAAATAAATATTATTTAAATAGGTTAAACTTGTTTCATTGTTTAAAATAATATTGAGGGGAATTTGTGGGGAATCAGCAGATTTTTGTCCCCAAATTTGGGGAATTTCATATGGAATTTTGGGGAATTACATACATTGGCATTGGCAACCCTGCTAGTTTGCTACATGTTTATTTATCTATGACTTGGACCCAGACTATGATGGGACTCAATACATAACGATTGAGTCGCAGTGGAGAGCAGTCAAGAGGTTTTTCAGAAAACCAAATTAAAACAATTTACATTACATTGTTTCATTTACCACTATCATAGCAGAATTTAGAGCAACCTGACTTTATAGATAAGATAGGTTGAATCTGTACTAAAACCGAATCAGCACAACTTGCTGCCCTACACTTAACGTAGTCTTGTCTGCCCTACCCTTAGAGTGTTTTTGGGAAGCCTTAGGCGCGGAGGGAGAGCAGCCCCCGCCCTTCATAATGCTACGAAAAAGTGAAGGAACTACACTCCCCGCAGAGCCGAAGCCGTTACAGAAGTAACTTTGGCTCAATATTCCTGTGTAAAAAAGTGAGGTTATGATTTTACAAAAAAATCATTACTCATATACTATACTTTTCAGTAAGGAGGGACCTGCTCCTACCACCGTACGCAAGTACTGGATGTCTATAGTTTTGCCTAATTGCGAACCATGTAGGATAATTACAAGCGACCTATTATTCCTTACAAGTATAACAATTACATACACCAGACATGGACCTGTGCAATTTTTATGTGCCCATCTTTGACATCTAACACATTATATTTAGCCATTCTCTGCTCATCGTCAAAATTCTGAAGAATTTTAAATCCATTTTAGGTCTTTATATTAGTGTACTTCTTTTTATAGGTTTTTTTTTAATATTCTCAGTCTTAACCCTCTTATTATCTACTTCCAGTTGTTTTGTTCTTTTAATTTTTCTTTTTGTCTTTTCTAATTCCTGTATTTCAGAAGTACTTCTTAGTATAAAGTCAATGTTGAGGGACACCATTTAGTAGGTAATGCTTAGTGGCAGGAAAAATAGAAGAAGGTGGGATGGATTATGCTGTTCTATCTTGGTCCTGTGTTTTTTTATAGAGGAAAAAAAGTAATATCAAATATATTAGATATTTTGAGTAATATATGCCTAGATTATTATATATGTTAGAGAAATACCTATATCGTTCCCTCCTATCGATAGTATTATTGTCACAAAGTACTTTTTATATATACCTACCTGGAAGTTTTAGTTCTGTGCATGGAGTCTACTCTATACTCCATGGTTCTGTGGTTGTGGTTCTGTCAATTATGTAAATATAATGGAAGTTTTGGCTTTTGGCGGGAACTTGACCGGCGGTGGTTTGCTACTCCTGTATTATTGCTTAAATAATGGTTTGAAGTGGATTTTGATATGTAAAAGTGGTGCGATTTTGTGTATTAAGTGTCTGCGTATGTGAAACGGTGAAACAAGTTCTGTCATGGTGATTTGATTCTCAAGATAAGATGTCTGTCTGCTTAGGTGCCTTGAGATTCCATCGCCAATTGTCAGCTGTCTGCTGATTGAAGTTGCCCTCAAAATCTCCCAAGGGCGGCACTATGTGACGCATCAACATATTGTGAAGCAGTGTAATATGAAGGATAGTTATAGTTTTACACTGTAACTTCAGGCTCTGAAGGGCTAGAACCCAGAGCCGTAAAGCCTTTTATAAAAAAAAATTAAAAATAATATATTGGAGAAAGCCAGAGAAAGCGTACAACATAGATTAAAAATTAAAGAAAATTAAAAATCTGTCAATCCTCTATTGACAGATTTTTAATTTTCTTGTTTGAGATTGATAAGATATTGTCTATGGGAGAAAGTGATCACACATAGGGAAAAAATATATCGATATATATCGAATCTATATTTTTAAGCAGTATCGATATATATCGCGAGATAAATATCGATATATCGTCATCATTTGAATGCTGTAAAGATAAGGTCCAAAATTTTCTCTACTCACGGTTGGACGACGTTTTAAACAAACAATATTTTAAAATATATCAAAATTGATACGAATTCGATACTCTTAAATAAATATCGATATATCGTGATATAAATATCGACGATATATATCGATATATTTTTTAATAAATATCGATATATCGATATTTTTTACGCATGCCTAATCACACATTATTTACGTTTTACATTTACATAACTTAATAAATCAAATAAGTTGATAAAATGAACAGAAGTCTCTTTTTAGTCAGGTATTTTAGTTGTTAAGTTTTAAGAAATCCCAACTCTTTGTTTGTTATCTTGTGTCAGATCAATAAAATACTTTTTATTGGTCTAGGATTGTTGTAAACAAAGTCATTTGTGTATATTATATAAACAATGATTTAATTTATTGCCAAACACTTAGTAAATTGGTGTTTAAAATTAAATTTACAATTCATTAGTACCAGCGGGGAACAGACTTGTAAATTACGCATTCTATTAAATGTTAAGGCAACTGCTTATAATATCTCTAGCACCATTTGAAAGCTTCCATAAATTGTCAAATATCGATCGAACATTAGTTGAAGTTCTAAAGTTGTAATAAAACCAGCAGGACATCAACATTAACTTCCCAACTGATCTCAGTCCTGCTCATCCCATGCTAGATACTTATATTTTAACTTTAGTTTGAAGAGTACATAATAAAGTGATACAAGTGTCAGCCTTGTGTGTTATGTATGGAGACAATGACAACCAAAGCTACTGGATATTACCTAACCCAGTACAAATCTGTTACATTTTATTTAATTATTTAAAAACTATTGTTCTAACCATAAAGGTTACATAGGCGGACTTAATGCCACTTAGCACAAACGTGACAAACGAGCACACAGTCCACCTGATGGTAAGTGGTTGCTGTGACATTTACATCTATCTTCGTTTGCAAATTAAAATGCAGATGTGTTGTCAGCCATGAGGACTAAGATAGAATGCCTCTTCCAGGAAAAAAGTGTCTCCGGTTCTGTACACTCACTATACGAAACACAGAAGCATTAAGCTGGTATTCTGTGAGAGTGTGGTCCTTCCCCGGTTGAGCTGACCCATTTGTGCTACAACTATAGCTACAGCATGGCTCTACCATGTGTAAATTAGTCTTTTAAATCTATTGGCAAGAACATCCTTTACCTGTACAATAAATAAGTTACATAGTAGTATTCACATATACATATACATGCCAGTTATATTAAATGCTACATTATGAAAACACCAATTAGACCACTATAAATAGGGCACTAAGTGAGGATGCTACTTAGAGTATCACTAAAAGCATTCTGGTTATACTACACTAAATCTGAACCCATATTCAGTTGTAGATTGAACATAGGCACAGTTGTTGCAATTGAGTTGGGATTGTATCTATGACTTCACCTCTAAGGTTTTTTTTTTACTGTGGCCAAATATTTAGTAACATTTGAACTACCAAGCTCTTCAAGGAATCTTAGTAAGTGCTTTATATTGCCAACAAACCTGTAGATGGTAACTGCTGGACAGATCAGGTAGAATGTGGGCTACCATTTCCACATGCTCCAAACAAGCTTTGCACAGAGGACTGTCTGTAGCACTAATAACCAACAAATGTTTATTAAATGAGCGACCTTTTAACCATTTTGATTCATAGTTAGTTCATTAAAAAATTCAAAAATGTTCACTACACTTACACTGTATGCACACTTTAATTCAAATTAAAATGGCATATTTAAATCATTGCATTTTATTATTGTTATTCCATTATTTGTTCTAAGAATTCAGTATTTCGGTATTAAATTTTAAGGAAACTAAGGTGCTTCATCTTTTAATTGCACCATAATTTGTTTCTATGATTCATACATAAATAACATTAAAACATGGTATATTTTTTTCATTGTTCATCATGTTTACCTAACATGCAAATGATTATAATAAAGTTGTTCTGTTTTCCAGAACCTGCTTTAGACGAAATAACTTGAGATTTTCTAGTCGTAATATTGAAATTAATGAAAATGAGCCAATAAAATTCTCCACAAGTGGAGCAGCTATAAAGAAGACTATACAACCTATTAAAATTGTTAAAAATAATAATATGCCATGGTATCAACCATACTGTGTTGTGGGCAGTGTTGCTATATTCCTTATTTATTTCTGTATATTAAGAGAAGAAAATGATGTTGATAATGAATTCAATAAGACACTTTATGAAAGAATCAAAGGTTTAGAAAAGCATCAACTACTTTTATCCTACAAATTTAATAAGGAAAATGGTAAAAGTGTGGAAGACATAGAAAAGAGACTCAAAGAAATAGAAGAGGAAGAATCAAAAGCGCAACTATAATAAGTAAACACGTTAATTTGTAGGTTTTACAACATTAAATTAATACCAATATATATATTGCTGTTTTTTTTACATCTATGTGTTTTATTGTAATTACCAAAACATGGTTTAATATTTTGAAATACCTACACATTGACTATTTATTAAAAACGATGAGTTCACTTGCAAAAATATGTGGGTATTATTTAATTACTAGTGACCCTTTCAAGTTTTCATTTAAACGGTTTAGCCACAAAGTTGTTATACTTGCATTTTACACTAAATTATATATGATTCAATAAATACCTAACAAGTTATTACATTATGTTAAAAAATAGCTTAAGCTCATTTCAGACTATAATATAATGTTAAATAGAGCTAGCTGGTACCCTAAGCAGAAGAAATAATTGTGGAAATATTGTTTTAAAATTTGAATTGTTTAGTTAGGACTGATAATACATTCACTGGGAGTTGAATGATATACAACTTTCAAATAATTTGTTGTTGCGATACGCGCGCCACCTACTGTAAGTTAATTGTACTATGCACATAACCTTCACGCAAGTGCAAACACCAAACAATAAGTTGACAAAGTTTTACTGCAATCTGATGAACGGTATGGCAACGCTTAAAATACGAAGAAACAGAAATTAAGTTTTAATAGATAAAGCTATTTTGAAGCACAATTAAACTCAGTATACATTTTTATGGACACTTGACACTATGTATGCTACATTTTATCAATGGATTGAGATTGCTTATGAAGTAATGTGCTATTTTATAAAGCAGAATAGCACATCGTAGTTGATACTGAGCTTCACCTAAAGTGAACTTTTATATCAATCAATTTATTAAGTTGTGCATTTGCAGTGCAAAAATACTCACTACCCTAATTAACTATATCTAGGGTGCTGTAAGGGGTGATAAGAGGGAAAAAAACCTTACAGACAACCGACACACCTTATTAAAAGCGGAAGTTGTCAAACTCCTTGCTAAGTGTGACTATTTTTTATTATAGAATAACAAACAAGCACATATCACTTGATATTAAGTGGATGCTGTGGCCCATACTTACTCTTAAGAATAATGCAGATGCATTTTTACCTCTGGGGATATTATGGATTACCATGTTACCAATAAAAAGCCTCCAGTTCTCTACTCACCATAAAAAACAAAGCAGTATTAAGCTGCAATTTGACACTGGTATTTTGTGTAGTCGTCTTACCCTGCTAGAGCCAACCCATTCATGATACAACCTATGGCACATATCTAATGTTTGATCTAATTGTTTGGCTGTAATGATTACGATGGTCTGATTTTAGCTTTTTGTCACAAATTTATAGGAAGACCAATAAAACCATATATAGATTTTAATTGTTTATTAACACCAAGTTCTCAATACACATTTACATTAGTGCATAAAATTACTTAAAGTACAGAATATTCTCAGACATGGTCAACGACATTGCCCATTACACTACTTAGATAAACCATGAGTCACTAAAATAAGACTACATCAATGCAGCGAATGCTGCTACTGGTCTGTAGTAAGCTACAATGCATTTTTTGCACCTAACAGCATCCCTTGCAAAGACGAGAAACTTATAGAATAAGAACATATTTATAAAAAATTCAGTTCTGCTGCCTCCTTACAATAATGATTACGATGTTACTTAAATGAATTAAATGTGAGACATAATAAAAAAAATGTTATAGAATTTATGTCTATTCGAATTACAAATAATTTATAAGGTACACTAAAGCTAAACTTAAGCGCGTTCACCACGGATTCGTCGTGCCAGTTGGATGTCTTTTGGCATGATTGTGACGCGTTTCGCGTGAATCGCGCACAGGTTGGTGTCTTCAAAGAGACCTACAAGGTAAGCCTCACTGGCTTCCTGAAATAAAGAATACGGTTATAATAAAAAACTATGTTTTTATGATTATGATATCGTACAATGTAATAATTAAGATTCTCACCTGCAAAGCTCCTATGGCAGCAGACTGGAAACGAAGATCAGTTTTGAAATCTTGAGCAATTTCTCTCACAAGTCGCTGAAACGGCAGTTTGCGGATCAGCAACTCGGTAGATTTCTGATAACGACGAATTTCTCGGAGAGCAACAGTACCCGGGCGATAACGATGGGGCTTCTTCACGCCTCCAGTGCTAGGTGCTGATTTTCGCGCCGCTTTGGTGGCCAACTGTTTACGAGGTGCTTTACCTCCTGTGGATTTACGAGCAGTCTGCTTGGTACGTGCCATCTTTTACTGAAATACGAACAGAACACATTCAAGACTACACAATAACAATTTAGTATTGCAACAGTTCAGATGGTTTTTGAAGAGCTTAAATTCATCGAAATTCTAAGTTATAAAACAAAGTTTTATTACTACAGATATAGTATAAGGAATATTACACTTTTTTACACACCTTTTAATATAATTAGGAAAGTTATACTAAATTTAATACAGATTTTTCACGAGGTTCACTACAATGATCATATGCTCAAGATGGCGTCGGGAGAATGGCGGGCGAACACTGACGCCAATAATCTGGACGGTGATTGGACAAACTCTGATAGAGACCGTGAACATGATTGGCCCAAAAAGTACGTTTCCTAATTGGTGAATGTACGTAACGGCTTCCATAATTTGTTTGGCTATTGGTTAACTCCACATTTCAGTGTTGATAGAGAAAAAAATTAAACATTTTTGTAATATCTAAGTTTAGAACATGAAAAATATTTATTTTACAAAATGAGTAAAATATTTTTTTTATAATTTGTTATTAAAAATAACAACTACTATTTTTATTTAATTTTTAATAAAACCTCGAAACATTTTTGTTATCTTGCAAATCCTTGAATTATTGTTAAAATTAATATTTAATGTTTATTATTAAAAAAAACCGTTCTTACCTAGGTTTAAATATATTTTTTTTTAAATTGAAAAAAATGTGCTTTGATGATTTTAATATATATAGACGGCAGAACATAAATACTTTTTCATATTTCTTTGTTGTGAAGCCTACATAACCATTCTTTATCTCCTTCCAGGTACAATAAAAACAAAACAATTCGACCTATTTTTCGTCTCTGTCTGTCACGAAGGATTGATATTGTAATAAAGGGAGATAAATGGAAAACATGAGACGTGACATTTCTGTCAATGTTGACTGCGTTTGTATTTATAGTTTTTTTCTGACTTCTGCTGTTCTGCTTTGTGGCTTGGTGGAGATAACAAAATACTTTTAAGTTCAAGGTCATTTGAATTAAAATGTTTGATTCATCAGAAGAAAATCTTCTACAAATAATATTTTATTTACATTTAGAAGCTTTCTAAAATATAAAGTATCACGTGATCATATATTGAATTTTAATTGGTCATCGGTGAGCGTGCCCTGCGCGACGCGAGAGGCGCAATACATAATAGTTCTCCAAAATGCCGTCTGAATCTAAGCCTTTGTTGACAGCTCAAACAGAAAAACCAAATCATTATAAGTAAATAGTTATTTCTGTTGTTGTTTTTGTTTAAAAATGATTGTGCAAAGTATCTAGTTTTTGGGAATATATCTTTTACTGAGTTCAGTGATGTCGTGTTGCAGATATTTGAAGGAATTCCGAGTGGAGCAATGTCCATCATTCTTACAACATAAATGTACACAACATAGACCTTTTACATGTTTTCACTGGCATTTTAATAATCAGAGAAGAAGAAGGCCAGTCAGAAAAAGAGATGGATCATTTAATTATAGCGCCGATAATTATTGTGCCAAATATAACGAGACATCGGGTATTTGCGAAGACGGCGATGAGTGAGTACTATAGCCTACTTGTCTTTGCTTTGTTGTGCTTGTATTTACGGCACTTCTTTTTCATTTAATTATATTGTTGGCAATAAAGATACCTGCTTTAAACCGCAGCAGGATAAAAGCTGCAGGATTTCAGTTATTTTGTCCAAATTTTGATAATATTTTAGTTATTCTCCCAACTATATCACATCTTAAAATACTTGTTCTTGTTGTTTGTGTAATTGTTTGTTTGTAAAGTTCAAAGTTTCATTTAGCCTAAGTTTCTGAATTTTCATTCTTCATCCAATAATAATTGACTTATTCAATCAAATAATAATTGACTTCTTTAATTTCAAATATATTTTAACAATTCAATTGAATTGTTTTTAAATCCAATTTATTAATTTTTCTCCTAAATGTTTTACTACTTATTGTGTTTAGTAACTACTTAACTATATCTGTGACCAGGATTATAAAAAATCCGCTTTTTGTTTTAAAAATAAAAATATAAGATTTCATGATTTATATTTGGTATAAATATATCAAGAATGGGAAAATTAACCAAACATTTTCTTTTTTCTACAAAATTGGTCTTATAGAAGGTCTTAAGATTCCAGATGCAGCTAGCCAAGAAGGATCATATAGAGCTAAATGTCATTATTGCTAGTAATGCACACTGTGTGTGTGTGTCGAGATGTGTTGTAATTTATTGATTGCTGTTCTGCCAAGTTTAATCTGCCAATTGGCATCTTTAAGTTATTATTTGAATTGACCACTAGTCGTCAATTCAAATTGTTCCTAGTCTAACAATTTATGTTCAAAAACTGTTCATCGGAGACACCAATGAGGTCATCGAGCATAGTGTAAAGATTTCTCCAGCATTTTTACCATTACAATATATTGCCATCATTTTTGACATATTGTGACCAAATTAAAGGTGTATGATGTGTCTTGCCCTCAAACCTAGAAATGAGAAGAGACCTGTGTCCAGCAGTGGGAAAGATCGATGATGTAATTTTACTTTTATGTATTGGTCTGTGATACTAAGGCTTTTTCAGACACTGACGTGTTAATAAGGTGTCAAGTCTAAGAATACATAAGAAGCAATACAACATTTTGAATTTGAAACTACTATTTATAAGACTGCACAGGGCCACAGGTGGACTGGACGGAGTGTCTATAGCGATACAGAACTATCTGTCATTTTTCACGGGGGGAAATCTGCACACACAAAAGCAATCATCTGTCAGTATGAAACTCACACATAACAATCAAAACAATAAACCCACAATTGGTTCACAATGGTCCATTTTTGAGGATTCTTTTCTTATTATTAATTAGGATATGTCAAGGGCAGTCCCATATAAATTTTGACGATAGATGGTTCTCAATTCACCTGTTTTTTTTATGTGTGTTACCTAATAACTTTTGCTGGGTGAACTGATTTTGATGAATCTTTTTTTTAATTGAAAGCTAGTGCTTCACATGTGGTCCCATATAAATTTGAGCAAGGTCTGACAAAGAGTTTTTGAGTTATTCTTAATAATTTATATTGAAGCCGGTTGTACAAAATTTATAATTTTAAATTATCTATTAAATGTACTTTTTTAAAATACATGGATATGATGGGGGTATCAAATGAAAGGCCTTAAAAGAAAGTGCAAATATTTATGCATTGTAAGTATATAGTAAAGTTATTTAACAACAGGTTTCAAATATAAAACTATCATTGAAAGACAAAAAAGCAGACAGCAAAAGAAACTGTAAACTGAGAGTCAAACAGTACATATCTTCTTTTCTGAAATGCTCTAATTAAAATATTTTCCTGGCAAATGGAAGCCATTTATGTAAATGATAACCATATTATTCACTTTTCACATGCTACATACTTTACTGACAGAAATAATATATAAACAAAAGAAAAAACACATATTTTCTATACTGGGGTTTAAATGACAATGGTTGTTTAAATTCATAAAAACAGTATACATTATTATAATTACCTATCTCATAAGAAGAACATTATTGATAACACATATCAATAAAAAAACATTTCTAATTTGTAGCCATAGTGGTAAATACAAAATATTTAACAACAGAGGTCACTTATTACAATATAAGCAAATATTTCAGAACCTGCTATGAAAATTATTTATTTTATTCTCATTATTGAGTAACAAAATACTTATCAAAATATATAAAAGAAAAGTGTAGTTGCTTTACTATGACAAGATTTGCAGTATCACAATGTGGAGTTTGACATATTATATAAAACATTTTAAATATTGTGTTCACAGATCTGTATTGTTGCAAATGATATTTAAATACAACTTTGATACAAAATAGTAAGAGGCTGTGAATCTATTGTATTATATTTTAAGATAATTAATTTTGTTTATTATTTTTTTTTATTTTTTTTTTATAGGATAAAGGTGACAAACGAGCACACAGTCCACCTGATGTTAAGTGGCTGCTGTGGCCCATAGACATCTACATCTATCTTGTATTATGAATCAAAATGCAGATGCGTTGTCACCCGTGAGGATTAAGATGGAATGCCTCGTTTCCAGTAAAAAGGGTCTCTGGTTCTCTACACTCACCATACGAAACACAGCAGCGTTAAGCTACTATTTTACACTGGTATTCTGTGAGAGCGTGGTCCTTCCCCGGTCGAGCCGACCCATTTGTGCTAGAACCATAATATAGCTGCAGCTGGCTCTACCACGTATATTATGTTTTTGTAAAGGCTTTACTGCATCTTGTAACTATGTCTATATAAAATATTATTTGGAAATTCTTTGCAATCTCTATAATATGTTAGATGGCATAGAAATAAATACTTATAGGAAATATAATCTCTGATCTGTTCTACAGATGTCCCTATCTTCATAGAACAGCGGGCGACACAGAACGTCGTTACCACCTTCGGTATTACAAGACTTGTATGTGCGTGCATGATACAGACGCTCGCGGCCTTTGCACTAAAAACGGAGCCCATTGTGCATTCGCCCATGGAGCACCAGACCTCCGTCCTCCAGTGCTCGATGTCAGAGAACTTCAAGCTTTAGAAAACCCAGATGGAGCAGATGGTGATGCTGCTGCACCTAATGCACTTGATAGAGAACGAAATCTTATGAATGAAGATCCCAAGTGGCAAGGTTTGTTTTTCAAAAACTTCAATATGAATTGTGAAACATTTATTTAAAATTTATATATTAAAAATTGCATAAAAATATTATTAACAAGTTTAATACTTAAATAAGGATTAAAACAAGCAGACTAGTTAGTTTTAGAACACATTTGATTATTATTTAGTAATACTAATAATATAAATAGAAACAAATCTTACATGTTTGAACCTCTGTATCTATACATATAATAAAATTGCAGTGGCTGTTTTATGCTGCTCTATCAAATTAATTGTCTTTTACTAGACTCACATAAATTGTATTTTCTCATAATTTTTGTGTCTGTTTAGGTTAATATTTGGAATGGCTGAACAAATTGTGATCTAGGTTATATCTTATCTGAAAAACATCCAGAATATTTTTGTGAAATCAAAAGACTTATCAGTTGGTAAAATGGTTTTTGGGGATTTTCTTGTAAACTATCACAGATATAAAAAAAATCTTTTTTCATTTACATTTTCACACAAAAAAAGGTCCTTACACTTTTTTATCTTCAAATTTTAATTTAAAATTGATTTTTAACATTCTTTTTACTTCA